AAGGGATATTCTTGACAAATTGCTTAGATATCTTTCTCCCCAATTCATTAATTCTGTGTTAATTGCACCATTTACTTTTCAATCCCCAGGAATAGAACCACTAACAAGTACACACACACAACACGCAGGTGCAGGCAATGGTTAGAGACTCACAATAAGTCTGCCATACTGCTTCCAGGCGAAGTAGGCTGCATAGGCAGTGTCGTTTTTGTCCAAGTAGTACAAGTAGTCGGTCAATTCACGAATCGACTTGTAGTCATCCACGTTGATGTACGAGTGTGGAGGCAATGTACTTTCGTAGTCGTCCTTGAAGGCACCCAGCACAATGGGAATCATATCGTGTCTACACGCCAAAACATGCGAGGCATGAATAAAGATTAGATGAATCAGTGGAGCAATGACCGAAGAAGACAGCAACATAAGTGATTGAATGAATTGCGAAAGAAAGGTAGGACACCCATATTCCCACATCGTGCTTGACTGGCATTGATGACTTCAGGAAATCCAGTGTTGTTGAGGTGAATCAGCTGCGAATTATGTGTGAAATGCCAAATTCAACTTCACCGGATGGAGAACATGGTGGGTTTGTGAACCAATGGAGTGAAAATGAAGAATGTGGATATTCCCTTCCTGTGAATGTAGATCAGTGTGCAACAGCGTGGATGGAAGGACGTATAGACCTGCCGAATTGCATCCTTGTCCGAGCACAACACATGCACCAAACCCACGCCTCGTGACGTGCGCCTACGTCTCTGAACTTGCGCAATCGCAATTTGCAGTGGCAAGAGCAGGTGGACTGGCAGTCATTTTATTAAGTGAGAAGTTTGAGGATTTGTGACTCACGGGATCTCTTTCCTCACGATGTGTGCCATGCTACTCACATCACATTCCTCTACTGATCATGTCAGGATATTCAGCTGTCAGATGTCCGATACCAGCCATCCTCAGTGATTTCCCTTGTCCTATTTGGCTTACCATCAGGTCAGCCAGACCAAACGTTCCCTACTGGTTGATTTTCAAGGATGTGAGAATGGATAGCTGAGTGTATCTTCTCATGTGGATCATCTACTATAAGACTGATAATGAGAGTACCTGAGGGTGGAAATGGATTGCATTTAAAGGAATTAAGAAGGAGGCATTACGCACTGCATAGCGTTGACATAGACCTTTTCCGTTATGTAATTGCGACAGTTGGAATTCTCGAAGGAGAGGTAGAATTTGTAGTTTATCGAAAGGAAATGAAATGCATCGACATTAGGTGGAAACTGCATTCGATTGCTGCCGTAGATATCTACCTACAAATTAGAATAAAAA